AAAAATGAGGACCTGATGCCGGGGGGCTTAAGAGGAGAGCAAATGTTTTGAGAATGACGAGGGCAATGAATGTATAAATGTGCTTTACACAATGGATGTATGTATGAATTGTGATAAGAATTGTATGAGCCCCTAATAAAACAATTAAAAAAAGAGAAGAAGAATGGGGTGTCAGAATTGGAGGAAGGCTTATTAACAACCTGCAATATGCATGACACAATCTTGCTGGCTGAAAGTGAGTAGGACTTGCGGTGTTTGCTGATGGAGATCAAGAAACGCAGCCCTCGGTATGGATTACAACTCAATGTAAAGACTAACTTCCTCACAACTGGACCAATAGGTAATATCATGATCAAGGGAGAAAAAGTTGAAGTTGTCAAGGAGGATGTCTTTCTTGGATCCACAATTAACGCTCAATGAAGCAGCCATCAGGAGATCAAAAGATGAGTTGCATTCAGTCAATCTGCAGGACAAGACCTCTTTAAAATAAGGTGAGGCCTGACTCAAGCTATTGTATATTCAATCACCAAATATGCATGTGAGAATTGGCCATTGAATGAAGAGGACAGGAAGAATGGATGTGTTCAAATTGTGCTGCTGGAGAAGAATATGGAAAATAGCTTGGACTGCCAAGAGGACAAGTCTGTCTTGGAAGAAGTTGGGCCACAGTACTCTTTAGAGGCAAAGATGGAGAAACTTTGTGTGGAAGTTACATAATCCCCGGTCCACTTCAGTGAAGGGGTGGAGTCTGGCCTGTCAATCAGGTCATAACCAATGATGTCTCAGTGTGGGCATGCCCTTCTCCTGAGGATTCTAGGAACTCCTGTCTTCCTCCCTAGAGGTAGGAAACACACACTCCCTGCTTCACATTCCTGCTGACAAGCCCCATGGAGCTACGCTGATGGTAGTCAGAGCCCTGGAGCTGGAGGAACCACTTGGAGACCCATGCCAGTTCCTAGATGCTTACACCACCACTGGATCCACAAGACTTTCCACCCACTGGCCTGTGATCTTCTTGCATTCGGCATCACTGCATGGCTGTGGGTCTAAAGAGGAATTTATAGACTGGTATCAGACATAAGGGGTAATATCAGACTTAAGGATTCCATCTGGTCTGGGCTGGGATGTTTTCTTAATATACAATAACTCTTGGATATAAAGCTCTCTTTACACACGAGTGTCCCTGGATGTGTTTCTCTAGTCCACCCGAACTAACACATTTGTCTTCCAAACTTCGTACACCTAGTCAGGAGAGACCAAGTCCTGGAGAGGGACATCATGCTGGGGAAAGGAGAGGAACACTGGAAAAGAGGAAGGCCCTCAAGGAGATGGATGGACACAGTGGCTGCAACAGTGAACTCAAGCACAGGAACATTGTGAGGATGGCACAGGACCAGGCAGTGTTTTGTCCTTTTGAGTATAAGGTCACTATGGGTCAGGACCTGCTTGATGGCACTTAACAACAAACAACAGCCAGGACCTTGTGAAGCTGTCCCTTGTTCTCGTGATCATACATAAGGCGCACCATGGCTGTGTGTTGGCCAACTCCATCAGCCTCTGTAGCACAGTGTGGCGATGCTGATGTGTTCCCTCAGCCGAATGGTTATGTTTCGTTTGTCTTTGTCCTGTGTTTGTTGTGTTGAGTGCTTTGGAATCAGCTCCACTTTCTAGTGACTGTGTCATTCTCGCAATTGTTATGTTTGAACCTCTTGTTGCAACCCATCACTGTGTCTGTCCATCTCCTTGACTGTCCTCCTCTTACAACCCTGCCACACACCTTTCCTGATTTTAACCATGAAATACCAGTGGCACAGTTTCCCGCATCACAATAACACACAAGCCACCGCAGTACAACAAACTGACAGACAAATGGGGGTGTTCTCTGGCCATCTAAATTTCCATATTCCCCAATACAATAATTCAAATGCATCAGTTCTTCTTCCAGCTTTCACATGCACAGGATGTGCCTGAAAATACCACGGCTTGGGTCAAGCACACCTTAGTGCTCACAGTGATGTCTTTGTTCTTTAAGGCTCCAAGGCTTTTGGCAGCATATTTGCCCAGTGTAATAAATTGTTCAATTTCTTGACTGCTGCTTCCATGAGCATTGATTGTGGGTTCACTTAAAATCCTTGACAATTTCAATCTTTTCTCTTTTTATATGATGTTGTCTATTGGTCCAGTTGGGAGGGTTTTTGGTTTTCTTTACATTGAGTTGTAATCCATACTGAAGGTTTCAATGATCTTCGTTAGCAAAGGTCTCAAATCCTCCTTGCTTCCAACAAGTAAGGTTGTGCCATGCGCATGTCGCAGGCTGGTAATGAGCCCTTCTCCAATCCTGAAGCTTCTTCACAATGTCCAGCATCTCAGTTTGTTTGCTCAGCATAGAGATTAAGAAGCATGGTGAAAGGACATGAGCCTGATGCATACCTTTCCTGATTTTAAACCATTCGGCCGTCTCTTGTTCTGTTCGAGTGGCTGCCTCTTGTTCTACACATTAGGAGTCCCAGAATGTCTATTCTTCTCAGTCTTTTCCATAGTTTATGACCCTACAGCTGAATGTCTTTGCATCATCAACAATACACAGGTAATTATCATTCTAGTATGCTCTGCTTTCAACCAAGATCCATCTGCTGTCAGCAGTGACATCCCTTATCCTCTTTTGCATCTGGCTTGAGTTTCGGGCAGCTCCCTGCAACCACTTTCGATTTATCTTCTGCAAAATTTTACGTGCATGTGATATAAATGGTATTGGTCATTAATGTCCACATTCTAGGAGGTCACCTTTCTTTGGACTGAGCAGAAATATAGATCTCTCCAGTCAGTTGGCCAGGTAACAGTCTACATAAAGATGACAATCTAAGAACCTCTCCATGAGGCACGTGGCGTTGTTCTGGGATGGAGTTGACTCAAGGGAAGATAGCAATTTCCTTCTCGTACTTAGGATTTACTCAAACTGTCACTTTGACTGGATGGCAGAGTTTAGAGTTGGTCACTTTCAGAGGCAAGTAAAACAGAGACCAAAATAAATGTGTTTTCATTTCCACAAGGCCCCTAGCACCCTCTCAGGAACAGGGAGGTACTAGATGCTTGTCTGACAGGTTCTAGAGGGGACAGGCTTGGAGAAAAGCTCATTAACAGCTTCTGATATGCAGATAACAAGACCTTGCTTGCTGAGAGTGATGAGGATTTGAAGCCCTTACTGTTGAAAATGCAGACTGCAGCTGTCAGTATTGATTATAGCTCAATGTAAAGACACCAAAAAATCTTGTATCTGGAGTCTTAACGGCTTGTAGATAAACAAGTGGCCATGTAGCTGAGAAGCAACAAAGCCCACAGGGAAGAAGCACACCAGCCTGTGTGATCATGAGGTGTCAATGAGATCAGGTATCAGGCATCAAAGACCCAAACAAAAAATCCTATCCATGTAAATGAGGGGGAGCATGGAGTGGAGACTCAAAGCCAATCTGTAGGCAATTGGACCCTTACAGAAGGGTCACAAGGAACAGATGAGGCAGTCAGGGTGATGAAATATATGACTTTCCTCTGGTTCTATAATGCTCCCCGCCCCCTATCATGTACCTTACAAATCCAGCTAGACCAGAGCATGTACATGGGTACAGATAAGAGCTCGAAACACAGGGGATTCAGGACAGATAAACCCCTCAGGACGGATAATGAGAGTAGCGATACCAGGAGGAGAAGGGGAAGGTGGGGGGGAGAAAGGGGGAACTGATCATAATGATCTACATATAACCCCCTCCCAGGGGGACAGACAACAGAAAAGTGGGAGACAGTGGTCAGTATAAGACATGGAAAAAAAAAAAGAAAAATTATCAAGGTTTCATGAGAGAGGGAGAGGAGGGGGAAAATGAGGAGCTGATATCAAGGTCTCAAGTAGAAATAAAATGTTTTGTAAATGATGATGGGAACATGTGTACAAATGTGCTTGACACAATGGATGAATTGAGCTGTAAGAGGCCCCAATAAAAGAGGCTTGACACAATGGATGAAAAGAGCTGTAAGAGGCCCCAATAAAACTTTAAAAATTAAATTAAACTTATCGACAGGACCAACACAAAACGTCACCCACAGTCATTACTTCTGGGAGCAGCAGTCATGAAATCAAGCAACGAATCCCACTGGCAAATCTGCTGTACAAGATTTTTTTCTAACGTGTTGAAGAGCTTGGACATCACGTTGAAGACCAAGGCCCGCCTGACCCAAGCCACGGTATTTTCAATCACCAGGAAGACCGAAGAACTGATGTGTCTGAATTACGGTGCTGCTGATGAATATTCAAAGTACCACGGACTGCTGGAGAACAAATTCTGTCTGGGAGGAAGCACTGCCAGACCACTCCTTAGAACCATGGTGAGACTTCATGCCGCAGACTTTGGACATGCTGTCAGGAGGGACTCGTTCCTGCAGAAGGACATCATGTTGGTCAAGTTGGAGGTGGGGGGCCAACCAAAAAAGAGATGGATTAACATCGTGGCTTCAGCAATGGGTTCAAACCTAAGAATGATTGAGGATGGCGCAGGCCGGGGCTATGTTTCGTTCTGTTATACGTACGCACTGAACAAAAGAAAGGCTCAGGAGAAGCTGATGTGTCTATTTAGGGGGCCAGGCACGGCTGTCACCTTTCTCTTCAAAAGATGCGACCGGCCGGCGCCCATTTTCACAACATAACTGCCGTCTCTCAGCACGCCCGCTCCAAACCTGGGAGCTACTTCCGGTCCGGCCCTTGCTGCCAAGCAAATGCGAGGTCACGCAATGGATTCTGGGAGACCACGTCTCCGTTCCGGTCCTGGGTTTGTTAGCGAACAAGCGCACGTATCTCGCAATGCCCTCTGGGAGAGTGAGTCTCCCTACAGCGAGGCTTAAGGGGCTGGCGGGCACGCCAGACTTCAATTCCCACAATGCCCCGCGCGCCCCACGCTTCCTGCCTGGGGAGCGTGCGCGGCCGCCATCTTGCGTACGGAGTTGCGGCGGGTTGCCCGGCTGCTCCGGGGGTCGATTTCCAGTGCCCGCGCTCTGGTTTGCTGGAGCCGGATTTACGTGGTCAACCTCGAGTCGCAAAACGCTTCCTGGGAGAAGGTTAAGTTGTGTGAGGTCAAGGTCAATGCAAAGCTGTAGTGTAAGGTGAGTGGACTTCAGACGGACACCCCTTTTAATGAGGCGGGTAGTTGTCTTGAGGTTGGGGGGGCACTGTCCTATTTCCCTTCAAGTCTCGGGTGCTCGTTGCCATCACCCCCAAGCCCTCCGCCACGGCGTCGGACCCAACACGTCGCGACCCTGTAGGATCGGGTCGAAACACTCTACCGGTGGTGACCGCCAGCCCTTTCTTCCGCGCGCGGCCCGTGGCTTGAGCGCAAACCATTCATCAGCCTCTTCTCTGGGCGCTACCGTTTAAACAGAAGTCAGAGTGACGCTTTGAGCCCTAGAGACCCCCAGAAGTGCCCCGAAAGAGCGTGGACTTGGCAGGCAGAGGAAGGACGGAGGTGGGCCAGGAAGGCACCACGGTCTTGCCCCTGCCATCCTCACAAGTGTGAGTTGTTGCGGCCGCTGTACTGTGTCAAGCCATCTCATGGGTCAGCCTGAAACACCCAAATTTCAGGGTGTTTGCCCCCCTCCTCCCCCACGATCTGTTGTTTCTGCAGACGTTTTTTGCCGAAACGTTTGAAGTGTTAGATACGGCTGAGTCCGTTTTCAACTCCCTGCCACTGGCGGTGGTGGTTTGATGTCATCAAGCCTGTTTTGACTTGATTTCAACCGCATGTGACAGGCTTAGGACCACAGATCTCCTGGTCTCTTTCCTGTGGAGCCCCTGGGTGAGTTTGAAGTCCCAATCGTGCACTTTGCATCAGGCCTTCTTCCTGTGCCTCCACCAAACGGATTCACTGCCGCTGAGCCCATTCTGACTCAGGGTGACCTTGTAGGACAGGGTAGCACTGCCTCTGTGGGTTCCTGACATGTAAAGACTGCAACTTTTTACAGGAGTAGAAAGCCTCAGATGTCTCCCTTGGAGGCGCTGGTGGTTTTGAACTGCGAGTTTTGAGGTTAGCAGCTCATCATGTGAGCACCAGGGCTCCTGTGAGAAATCTTGGCTGGTAACCATGTGGCTTGTTTGCTCCTCAGATGCCTTATGGTGACACCGAAGCGCCGGCCATGGGTGTTGGAGGCAAAGGACTCAGCGGGCCTTGCTGCAAAAAACTGAAGTCAGCGGAAGGGCCCTGCGCTCCCTGCCGCTGCAGTGGCAGAGCTGACTTGCCCGGAGTCCAGGAGACGGCCCCTGGAGCCGCCCCTGGAGTCCCAGCCAGCAACCATCCTCAGAGAGAGAGGAGCAGCCCCCTGGGTGGGGCAGGCCCGGAGCCCGACGTGTTGCCTCATGCTCCCGTGGCTGGTGTCGGCCCCCAGATGCCCGCCGATGATGGCATCTACAGCACAAGCAAGGCATTCATAGGCCCCCTTTACAAACCCCCCGAGAAGGAGAAGAAGGCGGGTGACAGGAAGAAGGACACGGGCCGCCGTGGGAGGGTCCCAGGAGGGCGGGGCGAGAAGCCCCTGTCGGCCACCCCCAAGCCCGAGTTTGACAGCGAGCTATGCCAGTTTTACAGAGAAATCGAAGAGCTGGAGCAGGAGACGGATGACGTGGGCGCCGGGTGTCAGGCTCCCGCTGCCCCTGTGCAAGAACAGCTGACCGCTGGCCAAGACCTGCGGCGCGGCTTCCTCCGAGCAGCCGAGGAAGAGGAGCAAGGCCAGCTCAAGGCCCTGAGTGCCACCAGTCAGCAGCCTGTGGGGCTCGAGCCAGGAAGCTACCCTGACCATGACCATGGCCAGGCGGCCTCGCGGCCCCTCTGTGATGGGCCCATGACATCCTTTCCACCCATTGGGCGACCGGTGCCTCCTTTCCTTGTGCCCCATGGCTCCCTGCCGCCGCCTCTCCCCACCTTTAACTGTCACTTAAACTTCCGACGGTTCCACCCCCTGCCCTACCCCCCACTTCCACACCCTGCACTGCACATGTTCCCGGCCCACGAGGGCTCCCCGCTGCGGGGAAATGGCTGTAGCACTGGTCCCCCTGGCTGGGGGTGCCCTGCTCCGGAGCGGCCCAATGAGCACCCTGACTGTCTTGGTGGCCACAGAGGCACGCCTCCCTGTGGGGGTGTGCCCGGCCTCCCCGAGGGACTTGGGCGCAACAGTCTCGGCGGAGCCACTGAGGGACACTGGATGGACCTGCCTCTGGACAGGTGGCCCGATGGGGACCTGCCTGTGGACAGGTGGCCCGGAGGGGATCTGCCTCTGGACAGGTGGCCCGATGGGGACCTGCCTGTGGACAGGTGGCCCGGAGGGGATCTGCCTGTGGACAGGTGGCTCGGAGGGGACCTGCCTGTGGATGGGTGGCCTGGAAGGGACCTGCCTGTGGACGGGTGGCCTGGAAGGGACCTGCCTATGGACAGATGGCCTGGAGGAGACCTGCCTGTGGACAGGTGGCCCAGAGTGGATGTGCCTGTGGACAGCTGGCTGCCTGGGGTAGACCTGCCTATGGACAGGTGTCCCAGAGCAGACGTGATTGGGGACAGGTGGCCCAGAGGGGACATGCCTGTGGACAGGTGGCTGCCTGGGGTAGACCTGCCTATGGACAGGTGTGCCAGAGCAGACGTGACTGAGGATAGGTGGCCCCGAGGGGACCTGCCTGTGGACAGCTGGTCTGGAGTGGACATGCACTTGCCCCCACCCCAGCAGGCTCAGGAGGAAAAGCTTGAGAAATGGCAGAAGTTGCTTATCCTCCTGCGGGGCCTGCCTGGATCTGGGAAAACCACACTGTCCCGGTGAGTATCTTGCAGCGTCACCCTGTGGCGTCACCCCGTCTCGTCACGGTAACAATGGCCACACGCTTCTAGTTGAATAAAACCTCACATCTATTCTTTTTCTTTTGCTCCTCGGATGGTGTAGACATTTGAAAAGACCCTTTCTTACAAGAAACATAGAAAACCTAAAAGGGTTTTATGGTGGTGGAGACCCTGGTGGCGTTCTGGTTACATGTTGGGCTGCTCACTGCAGTGTCAGAAGTTCAAAACCACCAGCTGCACCATGGGAGAAAGATGAGGCTGTCTACTTCCCTGAAGGGAGTTGCTGTCTTGGAAATCCAAGGAACAGGTTTACCCTGCCCCATCTAGTTGCTGTGAGTCAGAGTGGACTCTGGTAGTGAGTTGTGATTTTGTAGAAACGGCCCTGGCTGTTGGTCACAGTATTTGCAGTGTGTCAGCCTTCTCCTGGTTGCCACTGTTAGTCCGCTCCCCTCTGGGCCTTCTCACCTGCCTCTGGGGAATGGAACAGCTGCTGTCTGGTCACAGCATCCATTATCACTCCTGCAGGACGGTCACTTTATAAACCTGTCTATTCCTGGTCTGGAAGGTAACGGCAGAAATGGCTTTGACTCCAAGTGGAAGGACTACCTTAGGAACAAAGTCTGGGCTCTCTCCACTATCAGGCCAGTTGGTGTGTCCTTTTTCAGCATTTGTATTTTGCTCTACTTTTTTTTTTTTT